GTAAACCCTCTGTATTTACATTTGCGAAGGCCTATAGTAGGCCTCTACATTGTAGACTTTGACAATGATATGCCTATCTCCTCAAGAGTGCTCTTGACTTGGCTGGAAGTTGTGAAGGGATTTTTCTTCATCTAGGAATGAATTCTGTGAACATCCACTTTAGATATCTTCCATGGTCTTCTAGGCCTTTTGGTGTGGTTGAGCTCACCAGTGCATTCCTTCTTTTTAAGAATGTACCAATTAAAGTTTTGGCTATTTCTCTGATAGGTCTGTTTGTTTGTTCAGCCTAATGGTGGCCTCCTTTGGACCACATATTGAGAGTTCCCATTAACAGCTACCAAATGCAAATTCAACACTTGGAATCAACTCCAGAACTTTTATCTCCTTAATTTGTAATAACGAGGAAACAGGCCACATCCGGCCATGAAACTGCTTATTGGTCAATTGTCCAATTTCTTTTGAGCCTGTGAAAATAGAGGGACTATGTAGAAAATGGATGCAATTACTAAAAATTTAATGCATTAAATATTTTGGTTAAACAGCTTGAATTAAAGCTGAAGGTCTACACTTCAACCACATTTGATTGCTTCATTTCAAATAAATTGTGGTATGCAGAGACAAAATGACAAAAATTGTCATATACATGCCAAATACTTATGGACCTGACTGTATATGCATATAAAAGCAGTAATGACTTAACTGATAAATTCACTGAGCTGCTGTAATTTTTTAGCTTTAGCTATGATGACCATTGCTCCAGCCAGATGGAAAATACATTTTACTAGGAGTGAGACTGGTTGCAATGTGCCTTGCAGGCAACAGAGGACTCTAAATTTTACATATGGCTCATTTACTCTCTCATAAACAAATTTGGAGAAATTCTAATCAGTTGTCTAATCAAATGTCAAACAAATGAAGCTGTAGGAAAATCTATGACAGATAAACACCCTCACCTTAATCTATTATATCTTTCATAGTTATGAAGGTTGGGTTTATCACCTTGACACTTTCATGGTACCTGATATGCATAATCATATTTAGAATTACTTACAGTGTCAGCAATACTGTACATTAGTGCCAAATAAACATAGGGCTACAATTTTATTTTAATCTGGAAAATATATTTTAGCTGACAAGTACTAAAAGGCAACTATTATTAAGGCAATTATAAGGCATATAACAATTAATTCAATTCAATTCAATTTTATTTGTATGACACTTTTAGCAATGCATATTTTCACAAAGCAGCTTTACAGAAATAAATTCATTCAAATTAAATTAAATCAAAATAAATTGTAAATATGTGAATTTATCCCTAATGAGCAAGCCAGAGGCAATGGTGGCAAGGAAAAACTCCCTGAGACAACATGAGGAAGAAACCTAGAGAGGAACCATACTCAGAAGGGAACCCATCCTCATCTGGGTGACACCAGATAGTGCAATTATAAATAAATCCCTTCTATAACTGTGTACTATATGGACAAATATTGAAATTGTGCAACCAGTAAATTCATCACAGTTTTCACAAGAAGTCCGGTTGGTTAAAATCTAGCCACTGTCCACTGATGGAGACCTGAATACAAAACTGCTTGCGGCAACTGCAGCCCCAAAGCCACTACAGCAATTGCAGTCCCAAGCCATCACAGTAATTCCCCATATGAGATCCCCAAGTCGTCTCCACGGCCCCCAGGTGGCACCATCCCCAGCAATCCCATGATCTTCAGGCCGTCCATGTGGGGCCCCAGCAGCAGAGAGCAGTCTCAACCAATGCGAACTCCAACCAGAAGTAGAGCATCAGCATGGAACAGGCAGGTCCAGAGAGCAGAAGGGGTCAGGATCACTGGTATCTCAGGAGTAGCACGTGTAGCTCGGCAGTGAGAGAGACAGAGAGACAGAGAGAGAGAGAGAGAGAGAGAGAGAGGGAGAGATTGTTAGGTAAGCTTTTGTCCCGTAATGGTTAAGGACAATGTACTTTGCGTGCAGAGTGAAAGCAGGGACTCCGGCAAGACTAGCTGTGGCAGCATAACTGAAAGGGAGTGGAGAAGGTAACACAGACATGAGGGCACCCTGGGACATAAAGTGCCAGCCGAGTGAGAGTGGGGGGCGACAGCATCCAAACATCCCAGTTCACCACAACACTCTATGCCTGTGAACCCTCCAGACCTGCCCCTGTACCTAAGAAAAAACTATTCACAAAAGGCTTGACTAAACAAATATGTTTTCAGCCTAGACTTAAACACTGAGACTGTGTCTGAGCCCTGAACACTAAGTGGAAGGCTGTTCCATAACTGTGGGGC